AAAGTTCAGAAAAAGGTGAAATTTTTACCTGGATATTTTCTGCCTGTATTGTCGCTCAGTACTCAGCAAAGCCACTCTTCATTCTGGTCTCTTATTTCTAGTGAAGTCATTAAAACCAAACTCCTTGTTAATGCAAAGTATCAAACAGTTATTTTGAAGAGCTCTGTGGAACCTACTTCCGAAAGACAAAATACATAAACATAGAAAAATGTTTGTTTGTTGGTTTGTTTTAGATCAATCAGCCTGTTTTTCATATTCTGCTGAAAATGAGTAGCTCATGGCCTTGCTAAAACGAGTATTTTGCAAGTTGTGGGGTAGAAGGAATCATGTTGTCATTAGCTACCACTAAGTATGCCCCTAATGCATAGTGACCCCCGTGGTCAGTGGAACAAAACACTGCCCAATCCTGCACCATCCTCATGATCTGTTGCAGATCTTGTGATCCACAGAGTTTTCAGTGGCTGATTTTCAGAAGCAGATCACTAGATCTTTCTGTCTATAGAAGTAATCATAGACTCTAACTTTTATGAAAAGTGGGAGCCATTGCTGACTTCTGGATCCAGAGGCATCAAATAGACTAATCCCACTACTCTGTAGAACGATGAAAGCTAGTAGCTTGAAAGGCTCTGGACAATTTTATATTTTAGAAAGATCCCTCTTTGGAAAGCTGAAAGCAAGAGCTCATGTGGGCTTTGATTACTTTCTAGGAGAGGGTCATCAATTGGAATAAGGTGTCAGATGCTATCCCAACTTCCCTATGCATCCAGCCTTTGGTAGGAGGAGTTATAAATAATCAGCACTTTTTTTCTTCTTCTAGTAGTGAGACTCTTGAATTATTAATTACTTAAAAAATATGAGTACCCAGGCTGTCTGGAGATTTGGGGGTACATGGAATGTGGGTACATTAAATGTACACATATACACTAGGTACCCACTTAATTGTAGTAAATTGTTAAGTCTCAAATGTTTTGGAATGTAAAGAAAATTATCTTTTAAGCTCCCCTTGAGATAGTTCCTAGTCACACACTGCTAGAGATCTGATAAGCTAATTCAGGCTATGATAAGGCTGATGATGCATTATTACTGTAATGGGGAGCAGTCACTGCTCATTGAGGACCTGAACTAGCTTCTGCTAATCCACAAGTTAATGGCATAGTTACACTACCCCTGCCCTCAGGATGGGTACAACAGGAATGACAAGACTCATAGAATCTCAGCAACGCCAGAGACCTTAAAAAGGATAATTTAGTTCAACTATTTCTCAGAAGTTTCACTCTGTGAGATTTCCATTGCCCACTCTTCGGAGCTCCATATTGCCCAAGACTAATGACACTGACTTTGAGCACCTGAATCCCTAAAATTTCTGACCGTTGTTTTAATTTTCATCCTTTGACAAACATGGAAAAACAGTTTAATGAAATCAGTTTCTTTCCCTGAGATAAGTCTACTTCGCGGATTTTCTGTGTTATTGCAGTACTAAGTGGTAGTTGTCATTAAGTACCGTTGAGTCAGTTCTGACCCATAGTGACCCTGGATAGGGTTTCCAATAAGCAACTGGTGAGCTTGAACTGCCAACCTTGTGGTTTAAACAGACTTTGCAGTCCAGGGCATTAACCCACAGTGCCACACCAGGATTAGACTTGCTTTCGTCTAGATTTTTAAAAAGTCTAATTCCCAATTTAACAGAAAGTGTTATTATTCTGACACACTTCCCTAACTAAAATAGAGGGTTTTGCGTATTTACCTTTTGAAGGGGGACACTCAGGAGACAAAGATGCTAGGACTCAGTTCAGATAGTTGGGTGATGTTAATTCTAGACACAATGGTTGGGCCAGCTTCATCACCTCCCCAAATGCCTATCCCTGCTGTGACCATGAAACTACTACTGCACAGAGGCCTGACTTGGTGAACAGGGAAGAGGAGCTATGCCAGGGACAACAATCCCACTCTCTGTGCTGTATCGTTTTGATGGTGACTGTGTCAAAGCAAGCAGCTTTGGTAGCATAGTGGTTACAAATCGGGCTACGAACCTCAAGGTCAGCAGTTCGAAACTACCAGCTGTTCCGTGGGAGAAAGATGAGTCTTTCTGCTCCCGTAAAGATTTACAGCATTAGAAACCCTATACAGGGTCGCTATGGGTCGGAACCGACTCCATGACACATAGCCACCACCACCACTCAAAGCAACTCTGCACAACAGAATGAAACAACACTTGGTCCTGCACCATCCTCACAAGCATTGCTGAGCTTGAGCCTATGGTTGCTTCTACTTTAGCCAATCCATCTCATTGAAGTTCTTCTCTTTCGCTGACCCTCCACTTTAGCAAGTAAGGTGTCCTTCTTCAGGGATCGGTCCCTTCCTGATAACGTGTCAGAAGTGCTTACCCTTCTCCAAAAAGGTTTTCTCAGGAATTGCATAAAGAAATGCTAAACAATTCACACGAAGGTGAAATACAGCTTTGTATGTGACCTGGACTGCCGTTCTCAGACTCCTAATTCTGTTCTTTGTCTTTCTCTTAGATGGAGAGACAAATGTCGGTGAGCTCCAACATCATGGGAATGCAAGGTCCAAATCTCAATAACCCCTGCGCTTCTCCCCAAGTCCAGCCAATGCATTCAGAAGCCAAAATGGTAAATAACCATATAATCATCTTTTCATGTTTTCATGACTTTTTTCTTTTGACTGCTACTCTGACTCCAGAGTTTCAATTAAGGTCGATGTGGTTCTATCTTTGTTCCAGCGAGTAAGTCTTTCCCTGGAAAGGCAGTAAGAGATTGGCTCTCTCCTTGAGGATATTTGTTACCGAACCTTGGTGTCAAATAATCATATAACACATATTGGATCAGGATGTGGTTTGGTGAAAGGGATATTTAAAAGTTTGGGGAAATCTATATGCATTAAAATTGGATATACCCAAGCATGTGTATATTTACTTATAAGGTGAAATAAGAATGATCTAGACTTTTTCCTTCTTCAGGGTAGATCAATCCATTCTTCCAAAACTCCCCTATCCATTACAGCAGGTATTTCATTCTTAAACACATACTATTATAGAAATACTTTGCTTTTACATATATATATATATATATATAATTGCCAGATGTAACATTGATTTGAAAGGATCCGAGACTTATTTTCTTAGAGGTTAACTGCAGCCCTCACTGAAGCATATGATTTCATATGACAACCTTAAGTGAATTTTCATGTCTGAAATTGATCTACAGTAGAGCCAATATTTCCAATCACAGTGGTAGAATTATGTATCTATATCCTACTAAATATTAATAACAGTGATGCACATCAATCTTTTCAATATAAAGTAAACTTACTGGTTATATTTAGCAGCTTACTCTCATAGTGAAATTCTGACCACCACAATTTGCCAAGGGGGTCAGATGACAACAAAATAGACTGTAGAGATTGTTTTTAGTATCTGTCACTGGATCAGGGTCACTTTTGCTAGAAGTTGGAGGTGCATTTGGCTTGCTAATTAGCAGTGCTAAGGATGTTATTGACAGTTCTGAAAGTCAGCCATCAATTCCTGTGTAGGAGTAGAGTCAGATCCAGTCACTTCATTTTCAAAGACAGGAAGAGTCTTTTTGATGCCTGCCTTGGCCACTTTCCCTTGGAAACCTTATTCATTTGATTTCCAGCTTCTTGACCCAAGGAAGCAACTAAACTCCCACTATAAACTACCTTGGTCAAGAGAGTTCTCTTTGCTGTGCCACAGCCCCTGTGAAATGCCAAATGGCACCAGTATCTGCAGCAAAGCTCATTAAATCTTTTTGGAACCGGCAAATATTTTTCAAACTCAAACCTTGCAGAGCCAAACCAAATACTTGCTGGCAGAGTAAGGTTCAAACTGGCATGTTTGGGAGACCAAAGTAAATGCTATTTACCTTTTTTTCTTTTTTTTTTTTTTTTAACCCTAAAGGAAAATTAAAAATGAACTGTGAATGTGCTTAAGAAAAAAAATTTTTAAACAAGATTAAGTTATCTGTATGTGTGAATAAGTATTCTGAATCTGAGCACCAGATACTATTCCCTGAGCTGGATTCGTTCTGTATCACCCTGTTTTGTTCAGGGTCCGTGGTACTTTTGAGGGACTGTCCAGACAGCTTTAGATAGATTCTGAAATGCTCTCCCAAACCAAATTTCTTTTCCAATTGATTTTTACTGGATTTTATGCTACTCCTTGATTCAGAGGTATCCTTGCTCTCCAAGAAGGAAAATGCTTCCAAAGATAGGATGTCATTTATATGTACGAAATTTAAAAGTAGATACAATATGGCAAATTATTATTGAGTGGTTTTATATAGGACCACTATGATTTGAAACCAACTCAACTGCACTCAACAACAACAATTTTATCCAAAGACAAAAGGGAGTTACTCTGTATTTCTAAAAATTAGTATGATCCCAAAAATGTTTTTCGGATTAAATTTATTGAGTAAGCACAAAAGTCTGCTGATTATGTTATGAATGAGTGACTATTTCCAGGCCTTCCCGTGCTGTGGGGTAATGAACTCTATCTAGCCTAGGGGTGGGGCTTACGAGCACAGCTATTCTTTCTAGCCCAGGCTATCGTCATTGTTGCTAATAGAATAACCCAAAGAAAACATGTTCATACTGACCACTTATATGAGAGGACTTCAAAAACTTTGCAGAAAAATTCAATTATCTTTTTTATTTCATTTTTCTATGAGCTTTTTAAAGTCCTCTGGTATTTGAAATAATACAATTTATTTATCAGTTTGGAAAAATATTAAGTGAATTTTAATACATCACTTAGTCTCTGTTCTTCTGCTTGGTTTATTCACTGGAGCTTCCAGCCCTTGTCATCTTCTAAATGTACAGAATTTTCTAGCGCTTTGGGCTATTCAGAGGAAAAGCTTTTATAAAATACAAAGTAGTGGAAGGGAAAAAAAAAAAAAAAAACCACCACAAAAAACCATGATTTTAATGTCAGCCAGTCTCCCCAGGTCTATCTGAACTATGGGCTTTGTTCTTCTATGCCTAATTTTCTTCCTGTGTCAGACTGCAATGGATTCCAGATTTTAGCTAAGACTTTCATTTCACTGTTTTCAAGGACTTTTGCAAAGGTCACACATGGGCTATTGTGATAAATGCACTCCACAGGGTGTGTTCTCAGAGCACGAAAGTAACCAGAGAACCACAGGGGAGTTGCTGCCCACAAAACAACACTGTGGACGTATTCTCCTGTGGGCAGTGGTGCCAAGAGTGCCCATTCCACACTCCCTATTGGCCACTGACAAAAACAATCATCCTGAATCTCTGGTGAAACTTGGAGGTCTTGGAGGTGAACAAAAGTTGAAGACGGGATTGTGTTCCACTTGAAACTTTGTTGGAAGCTTGCAGACTAGCGATTGCCTATCTGCGCACCTCAGTTTCTTTGCTCCTAAATCCGCAGTTTATTTTGTAAGAAGGGTCAAAGTAGATGCCCTTAATAGATTCTAGTGCATGAATATAGTAGGAGGTGGGGCTTCAAAAAGTTTGTGGAAAAATTCCACCATCTTTTAACTCTATTTTTCCAAAAGCTATTTGAAGATCCTCCCTCCTCCCCCACCCCCACCCCCCATATACCCTAGAGTGCTGGAGTGGAGCTGCAACGTCAGCAGGTTGAATCTACCAGCCTTCCTTGGCACAGAACCAACCAGCCACCATATATATGTGTGTGTATTTTGTAGTTGTTACTCTTAAGTGCCGTCAAGTTGGTTCCAACCCATAGCAACTCTGTATAGGGTTTCTCAGAAGTGGCTGGTGAGCTTGAACCACCAACCTTGCATTTCAAACCGACCATGCAGTCCGTACATTATCCTGTAGCAATATATATACATATATATATTGCTATAGGATATATATATAAAGGAGCTCTGGTAGCGTAGTGTTTATGAATCAGGCTGCAAACCTTAAGGT